TAAGCTCAATGAACGGAAGACACTTCCGTCGCCGAGCCCGTGCAGAGGCCCGGAGAGGCGACGCCCTGATGACCCTGCATTCCCTACCCTCTGAAACAGGACTGCTCGGAATCTTTCGGAGGGCTTGTAAGCATCCACAGTCAAGCAAAACTCTAATTAATTGAGACTGTAATTCCCTGACCAATGTACGGAGATGCTCTTCAGCGACGACCCGGAGAAGTTGTCTCCTCCAGAGCTTCTTGCGAACTTGACAAATGAAGATTTCCGAGAGCATTCTGTCTGACAGAATCTGTGAAGCATCCCCAGCCTCTGTATCGATTGAATGCGGCTTCACTGTGAGTTCAAATGTTCAACGCTGTCGATGCTGGCGGGCTTCTTCTGTCTGGATAGGATTATTAGCATTGTCAAAACTGACTGAGCGCTCCGTATATACGGAGTTTCGAACCAAGACCGAATAATGACTCCTCACGGTCGAATGACAAATCAGATTTGATTAAAGCACGGAACACTCTCTTTCGCGGCTCAAAGACATCGGGTGTCCTTGATCTCTATGAAGCGTTTGCAGATTTCCAAGGCAGCCGGTGAGTGTTCTCAAGAATCCTCGGTGCGCTTTCGGCGGAAACATACGCCTTCCCTTCCATACCTGCTTACGACACAGCAATAGCTTGCTCTGAGCATGGCCGAAGTCATCCCCAAGGAGGACTCGCGGGACACGAAGTCGCGTGCTCTACTCTCCTGCCGCAAAGATCGGAGTATGCCCAGAAAAACTGTCGGGTTCGAAATGAATCATCTTCGCTCCATCTTTCATCTTTGCTTGAATTGCCGCTGCAGGAGATCGCTGGTTCCGTCATATTGCGCGAAACAGCGCTTATCATGAAGTTGTGAACGGAGTGAACGGCGATGGCTAGAGCCGGCCTCAACTCCCGACAAGCTCCGATTTCCGTTCGGAGGTGTTTGCTGGGCCGATCTAACGACGATCCAGTCAGCTAAAATCATTCGAAAGCTTCCTATTCAGCGGAGAAAGCTCGATTCCCGAGTATTGATCCCATTCTTCTTCTGCTTCGACCTCCCCCTGACATATGTCTCATCAGACAGCGCGCTACGGTTTTCGAAAAGTCTCCATCGTTGAACATCTCAAGGAATTGATCCGGCTCAGCAGAGCTCGGGGACGGCTCTTTCAACCGTTAAGATCAGGTAGAACCTCGTCACCACGAAGTCGAAGGGACCGGCAGAAACGTAATGTACGGGCTCCTCCCGAAACGAAGATAGGTTCTGAGCTGGGGTGAATTAGGGGAATCTTCGGGAAGACCGCTGCAGCCTTTCTCCTGTCGCAAATGAGGCCGAGAAACCTTCCAAATCGACTAGTAGGCTATCGTCGCTGTATCTTCCTTCTCGCAAGAGTATGTAGGTCCGTGATCACCGATTCGAAAAGCATGGAGGAGCTAGGGGCGGGGCCTGGAGAAAAGTCTATCATATCCGGAAGTCTGTCGACGGGTCCGCTCTAGCCGAGTCACTGGACTTTGAAGAACCCACAGATTTGTCCGTGACCGAGCAATCGGTCCCGAGTAACAGAAAGTTCCTTGATCCCGGGTCGTCAAAACGAGGATCGACTGTACCTACTTCTTCTCGTTCATGGAATGCGATGCGGAGGTCGATGGAAGTTCAACTGGATGCTCCGGATGGACTGTGCGGAAAGTCACGCGAAGCCTCGAGCTCATTAGAAATCTTAGCGACTCAGCGACGAGGGGGGGCGGCAACGAAGAAAGCGCCCATTCACTTGGTATGCACTGCAGCACCAATCCGAACCTCTCCTGGGATTGATCTTTGAGTGTTAATGGATTCTAGAGTATCTGAGGTGGGTGGCATTCGTGGGTTTCCGGAAAATCTCACACAAAGATTTCGGAATGCGAGGAGGCGAGCAATTAGATTCGCACCCCAAGCACTGGGAGAGGGCCTTGGCGATCAGCTCTGTACCTGCTTATAACGGGGGTCCAAAGACCTGTCTGACTCACTCGAGAAGTATCACTCGCTGTGCCCGCTTGCAAGTGAAGCATCTCAGACACAGAAGTCCCGCTCTACCGAAAATCTTCGAGTCATGTCGCTCAAACGTAAGTCGACGTCGGTCGTCGGAGCATCCCCATGCGAAGTCGAACCCAAACGAACACGACTGGACTGTGCTCAGAAGAAAAGCAAGGTAAACTCGGTGGGAGACCTGGCGCGGGTTCGTTTGACCAGATCGTGCCTCGAAAAAGAAGTGCGATCACCGATGTTCCAGAAGGCCGTTGTCGGACGTCTCGTCAGGATCGGAATGGCCGGGAAGTACAAGATCGCAGAGGTGATCGATGTGGTTGAATTGCCGTATTCGTACGCATTGGGCACGACGCAAACCCGAAAGGGGCTGAAGGTCAGGCTCGGGAGTGAGCACCGAGTCTTCCGGATGGAGCACGTCTCCAACCAAAGCTTCGCTCAGAGCGAGATTGAGGAATTCGTGGCGACGTCAATCGCGACTATTCCGTCGTCCGGAACTCTCATCGCACGGAAACTCGAGGACTCCCAGCGATCGGGAAGCACCGGACATCCCTCGGCCGGAACCCAAAACAAAGTCGCCTCCTCGAAGGGAAGGGAGGCTGCAAGAAAAGAGGCAAAGGACCACAGACCATCCCCCAGGAGTTTCCTCAGTCTCGAGGAGTACAAGAAAAGACGAGGAATGGCTAATTAAGACTCCGTTCTAGTGAGGCACTTGAGAAGTCTTATCCCCGAGGTGTCAGCCGATGAGAGCTCAATATAATAATTATTCGCCGAATAAACGCAGTTGATCTGAAACGAATCCCCCTCTTTGATCTACATATGATTGCCTTGGAGAGTAAGCTCAACGATCAACCAAAATAAAACCTCAGATTGAATTTCGAAAGAAGAAAGCGGAGCCAAGATCTTTTTCCGGACTTTGGGGCTCCATGTTGAGGCCCAGCATCAGCGGCGGTTGGCCCCTACAAAGACAATGGATCCGCCTCCGATAAGAGAGCTCTCGGGGCTGGCGAACTGCCCCCCGTGTGCGGTTTGCTCAAGGAGCGCTTTTCTTTTGATGGGACCCGGATATGGAAAGAGAGAGCGATTTCCTGTCACATGTACACGATTGGCTTCCAGGCGAGGTCGGACTATACTTCGTTGGGTGAGAAAAAGAGTGCTGCGTAGCTTCTTCCAGGCGATTGCGCCTAGAAATCCGGAAATAGCTCGGTCACCCGAGACGTATTGAATCTTGGCCATTCAATCGCAGCTCGCTCTGAAGCCGCCGCTGCCGTCGCGGACCGCCCTCCGGATCCTGTTCTTATACCGCCCGATTCTCGTCTCGCGAAGTCGACTTATGTGGCCGATAGGGTGAGTCATGGAGCAACACGACTTCCACTTCACTCCGAAGCTCGTTCCCAACAATTGCCGACCAGCCTGCAACATTAATGAGGATCGGAGATTCCCGATTCCCGGGCTTTATACTCCAGCTCTCCTTTCTGTGCTCTCTCGGAGGGACAAACTTCAATATTTTTTCCCTGGCGGCAGGGCCGGAATCTCGCTAGCTGTGAAAACTACTCTCCGGGGGAGCCCTAGGCCCCTACGCGGGCGGGATGCCTGTGGAGAGGCCTGAGCGTAGAGCTAGTAGACGGGCGCCGATAATGTCGCAAAAATGGTCGAGTATTCTGACATGAGAATTCGACTATCGTTCAGCGATGATTGCTCGGAATTCGCCCACAGACCGGAATGAGAAACAGACGCTCACAATAAAGAGAAGCCGGTCGTATCGGAATTCCGACGCAGTGTCCGGTGTCGATCCCTCTGATTGAAGCTCCGAAATCAACGAGGTCGATGGAATGCGAGTGACTTCGGCAGCTCCGGCGCGGGTGCTCATGATTCATGATAACCCGCAAACGAATTCCGTACGCCCAATACATGTTTCCGGCCATAAGATGCGAGGAAGCGGGGCGGTCATAGTCAGAGCGATCTAGAGAAGCATGATATCCACGCGCCAAGTTCCGACCCGCGATGCTGGACCCATGATCGATCCCTCGTGACGATAGAAGATGTCTCCCTGATAAGCTCAGCGTCCTCTCCCGATCTGTAAACATGAAGCGACCGATTGCCGTAAAACGACTTTTTCATTCAATATTGACAAGGAAGCTCCAAGGGATTCCCTCCCCCATTGAGTGGTATCTCATCTGAACAGAGGAGGTTCGAGCTTCGGTTTTTATCGCGGGGAAATGTTCTTATCTATGGAAGATTCCGCGGCTTCACCGTTCGAGAGCGGGAGTTGGTTTGCAATTCGTGATCGCCTGCGATGCCGAAACTCCGGCAACAGATCCCTATTTCAACAGATATTCATCTCGAGAACTCCCGAAGATTCAAAAGTGGCGGGTAGACAACTCCGCTCCCCACAATTTCGTAATTCGTAATCAGGTTTCTCTGCACGGGCCGGTAGATGGCAACCCACCGGCGCTCTCCGACCAGACGGCACACTAGCGGGCTGAGAGCTGCGCGGTTCACGCAGGCCCGGCATCTTGGTTAGGAGAAGGACGAAAACAAGAACCTCAGGACGGACCATAGGTCTTATCTAGCTTCATGTTCGATCTCCCGGCTTCGATGGTCGAAATTCGCGATCCCGAATTGGATTGAAGAAACAAGAGTGTTTCAGCTGTATCCAGTATTCAGGCTTGGCGCGCCCACATCCAGCCCTCCTCTCTCTCTCTCGGACTCCGAGCGGCCGGGTTCCGGAACTGGAGTTACAGCACCAAAGAATGATGATTTCAGTCGCGAAAGTCAACGAGGGCGAGAACGTTCCCGATGGACTTGAAAATCTCGTCAATGAGGCGGCAGAGAAATGTGAGAGAGACTGCTTGCGGCTTGCGGCGTCTCAAGCCGGTCGGTATATAGGGGACGCGCGCGCGGGCTATACGGAGTGTTGTGCTTTCTGTTTGTTGTGTTTTGGAATTCTTTGTTGTTCTCGTTGCATTGCTACTGCGGCTGGAGTTCCTCTTCGAGTCGGCATTAGGGATTCTTCTTCAATCGGGTCCTTGTCAGACCTTGTTCACTTAGTGGTCCTCGATAACGGCTTCAAAATCTACGGAAAGCCACTGGGCGTCCGTCTCGCAGCGCACCGGATCATTGCAGACGTCGATGAAGCCGATCGGATCTAGTGATTGAGCCCGCAAAGAAAAGGTTCCAGCCGGAGCGGACAAAATGGCACTGTCGGAAGCACAGAAGCTGCTGGACGAACTCATGGGCCGTCACCGAAATGCCGACCCAAACGATACACTCAACACCATGGAGTGGGCGGAGAAAGACGTCTGCAGGCATTTCCTGGTCCAGTTCTGTCCCCACGAGCTGTTCACAAACACGAAAGCCGACCTCGGTACGTGCTCGAAAATCCACGATGACCGGCTTCGACTCCAATTCAAAGAGGAGGCTCCGGAGGAATACAAAGAGCGGTACGAGCATGCTTTCATAGATATGTGTCGCGACTTGCTCAAAGACGTTGATAGGAAAATTCAGAGAGCGCGCCACCGGCTCGAAATGACGGCGGAGCTCCGCGAGCAGGAGGCCAAAAAAGAAGTCAAGTCCCCGGACGGCGAACGGATTCAAGTTCTCAACGACAAAATCAACGAACTACTCAAGAAAATCGAAGAGCTCGGCACTCAGGGCGAAGTCGAAGAAGCTCAAAGTCTGATGAAGCTTTGCGACGAGTTGAAACAGGAGCGGCAGCATCTATCACAGCAAGCCACCCGGTCGAATAACGATTGGATGAAAGTGAACCTTGATCAGGACAAATCGATGGAAGTTTGTGAAGTCTGTGGGGCATTCCTGATTATCGGAGACGCCCAGTGCCGAGTTGACGACCACCTTAGCGGTAAACAACACGTTGGATATTCAAAATTGAGGGAGAGCGTCGTGGAATACGAAAACCGGAAGAAGGACACCGATCGCAAGAAACGAGAACGACGGAGGACCCCGGAACGACGAGACAGATCCAGAGACCGCGACAGAAGGGACCGTTCCCGTGATCGGGAAAGACCGCGACGGGATCGGAGCCGCGAGCGTGACCGGAGCAAGGATCGCCGAAGAAGAGGCGGCGGCGGCGGCGGAGGCCGGGGGGACCGAAGTCGTGAGCGCAGAGACTACCGGCGGAGACGGTCTCGCTCTCCTCCTAGACATAACAGGCGCTGATTGAGATCGCTTACATTTTTCCTCTTGTTTGCCGTTTGATGACGACCTGATGTACTATAACTTGTATCTATCGATTCTCTCCTCAGATACGGGAGCTGATCTTCTCCGAGGTCCGTCATAAGGCACAGAATCTATCCTTCGAATAAAAGCTACAGAAGCTGCTTCGCATCGACCGCCCGAGTTAAAACATATAAAGTGCGCTTCACGCGCCATGAGTCACAGATGGAAAGAGACACGAGCGAAAAACTCCGTACGCCGGTATACGGTGAAACCTTAAATCGCAAACGTAAACAATTCTTTGTTCGGGACAGTCACCCCGGGGGCTCCATGTCTCCCGAGCGGAAGCAAAGATGTAAATTCACTGGAGCCGGCGAGAGAGCATGAATGAATGCTGCCGGATAGAATTCATGAGAGCTCATCTTCACGCCAAAAGGTTCATGGAAGATGATTATTCACAAGTATAAGGCATGGATGATGTGGATGGGAACGTTTCTGTCATGGGTTTGTGGGATTCCCATCGGGGCGCTCTTAGAATGTGGATTGCCGTTGGGCTTGATCAAGAACGCGAACAAGACGAGTCAGCGGCTCGAGACATGATGTAGGTGTCCGAGTCTTCCGGTCATGACAGTTTATAAGAGATTAGTGATTTCGAATAAAAACCCGGAGGTTCCCCGAGAGAAGTTAACAATGAAAATCAGCGATCTTGATTCACACTACCTTCTGCGGAAAACTTGAAAGCTTCGAGATACGGGAAGATTTCGGTGAGGCTACGATAGAGGGGGGAGGCGGTTTCGTTTCCCTTGGAACGGGTTGAAAGCGCAAGCACCGCGAGAGAGCTCCCGAAGTTTATCGAAGTCAGAAGACTGGAAATTCAGGCCACCCCGAGATCCGATCCAATTGAAAGCCGAGCCAGTGATGGACATCGCGATTGAACCGAAGAACTTCATACTTTATTCCTTCATCGTATAATCCAAACCGACTCCCGATCATGGAATGCCTGCTGCGCGAGAAATGTACACGACTCGAGGAATCGATCATTGTGTGACTAACAAAAGCTGCCGTTTCCCTGGCTCACTGGATCTGGCATCCGTCTTGATCTGTGAAGACGGTCGAGCGTTAGACGTTGGAAAATTTACCGGAGGCAAGAAAGCCCTAGCGGAATAGTTCTGACATCCTGAAATTTCTCACCCCCTCGTTTATCAGGTCGGGGGTCCCCGCTGTACATGCGACTGGTGGCCGAAACCCTGTTTCTTCGTTCCTGAGCCACAGAATTGATCCGCCGAGTCCCTTTTTCGATGTCGTTGCCGTCTCCGTTAGTGCCGTTGCGGCCGACGAAATTATTGTGATCGACGGGAGGGAAATTGACCGTTGCGGGGGAGACAGGCTCAGAGTAGCTCGTTCGCTGAGGTCGAGCTATCTTGCCCATCGAGTCGGTGCTCAATGGCGTTCGTCTGGGAAAGCCTGGTGGAGCCGTGTCGTTTCGCCTTGAAACATTCGGAATAAGGTCAGTGGGCTCAGAAAACGCTCGTCCGACGTATGAGGGAGGCGGCATGAGGAGCTGATAGGGTCGGGAGTCGGAATACTGTTTCACTTACGGTTGGCCGTCGTCTCCTTCTTCGTTCAACGGTTCCATGTGGTTGAGTTCCCACATGCTCTCACTGGATCCCAAAGGACGCAAGCCTAACACGCTTTCAGGCCGGTAGGGATTCGTGTTCAGGTGCTTGAGGACCGTGTCCCGTCCATTCGACAGGTCCTGGATCTCTTGCTCGTAGATTCGGTAGAGATCGTTCAGCTCTTTCACGGCTTGAACTGTTCCGGAAATTGAAAGATATCGTTCTGAGGAGCAATCTCGCTGAGAACAAGTTTGTTACAGCGAAGGGTGTTAAGCAACCGTTACCCCGAATCACCTCTCGGTCTTGGCGGGGTTCTCAGCGGTTCTGAACCGCGACTGCAGATGCACGAAGAAGGCTTGTCTCGGCGTTCATTGGAACGCTCAGAGTGCTGCCTGTCGCGGCGATGCGACGTCATATCTCCAAGAGATCGAGTAGAAAAATCCAATACGTGAATCGGTAATTTCGCCCAATTCGGGGAGATCGAGCTGATTCGAGCCAAGGGCAGATGGCTTCATCCGAGAGGTTTCGGCAAGACAGCTCCTGGGAGCGGCTTTCTACAGGGCAGGCAGAGACCGCAGTCGTCCGCCCACCTCGTGTCGACAAATTCCGTTGGCCTGCCCGCCTGCCTCGGTCCAGCCGACCGCGATCATCATCGCTCACCTGTCTCTCGACATAACCTCCAGGCTACGGGAAGCCTCTGAATGCGAGGCGATAAAGAGACGAGAGTTCTTCCAGAGTCGATAAAGAACCCTCATTTGAAATTGTCCCCCTCCCGGGATCGTCGTTGCCTGGGCTCAAGCCCGCTCGTGCTGTTTGGGTCGATATTCATTTCCCGTTGCATTGCGGTTCCATGCTGCTGCAGAGACCCGTTGGCTGGCGCTTCGGCAAAAAACAAAACACTTCCGGATCGTCGCGAATCGGGACTCATTGAGCAGACTCATCCGGAAGCACAAACATATCGAAATTCGGAACCCAAGCATTTCGTTTCTCGTGAGCGGGTTATCGGACCCCTCTCGAGGATGGGGCCTCCTTTTGGAATAGGACAAGGGAAAGAGTGACAGAATCCCATTCTCCTGATGACCCGCGAATCAAGACATGATTCCAGCCGAGAGGGATCGGGGTCCTACTGTTATACTCCGCAGACTCCACCCGAATATACATACTGTGAATATTCTAATCGGAGGGTAGGCTCGTCTATTTTCCGGCCATCAAAGACCTGCCCGTTCATGAGAGATTGCCCGTCTATTGGAGACTGCCCGTTTATATCTTCCGTCCTCGAACGAGTGAATCGAGGCCGTTCACTCACATTGGTAGACTATAGTGGATCGATGAACCGCGAGCATACCAAAAACTCACACAAAGCCCCCGCGAGAGGAGTCTTGCGATCTTCGCGACTCGGGTACCGCAGTTCCCTCCCTCAGAGAGCCCGTTTGTTGGGGACTGCCCGTCTATTTTATCAATGCTCCAAGAACCTGCCCTTTCATTGGAGACTGCCAGTATATCAGAGACTGCCCTTCTGTTAGAATATTCACGGTATATACAAAAAATAAACATTCATATACATGTTCAGTTCAACTAAAGGTAGTTGATGGACGAATGTTTTTCGAGGGGTCCGTCAGGTGCTCGCGTGCAGGGTCTCATTCGAGGATGAGCGGGACCCTTCGGGTGTATGTCGGGGACACTCACCGGTTTTGGCTCGACGTCTTCTGTTTCCTTGTGAGAGATCTTCGATAAGCTGCTTCTGCTTGATGATTATTTCGTCCGAGAGAAGCCGTTGACGGTCATATCGAACAATCATCAAGTCTCTTTGTCGGAGCTCATGCTCCCGGATCAACTGATCTGTTTGCATTTCTATTTTCTCAACTTCTAGTTTATGACACTGGAAAGGAAAACAGTCTCGTTTCGAATTGAGTAACACTGATCGCTGTCTCGCGGAAATTCTGATGCGGATGATCGATGCCGGAACGGAGAGAGGTCCCGCCTCCCTTCTCCGGGGATAGTCCAGATTGGTTAGGCGCGCACGACGAGCTGTGATCTCAACAAGCATCCATGGTTGCCTCGGTGGACCAAGTCAATAAACTAGGTTATTGGGTATTTGATTTCCCCGTCGTGATGTGCTCCAGGCGCTCCGATCCGGTATTAGCCATAGGAGCGGCGCGAGCTATGAGAAGGAACTCGACGGAGAGATTATTGAAAAAACTTCGTGAAATTCGAAAGTTCCACCAAATTTATCTCCGGCTATCAGGCCAATGAGAACGGCATTGGCATCCGCTCCGCGACCGACGGGAATCGGGCGCCTGAGCTGGATGATTTCTCATAGTAGGGCCGGCCTCACAGGGCCGTGGAGATAGATCCGCGCAATTTTTTGTCGCCGAGGTCGCGCGAGCACGGAATTGTTACAACGTTCCCAATAGTCACCGGCATGCGTCACAAGACTTCTCGTTTCGCGAGGATTTCGCAAAGTTGTGCTCTACCCTCATATGACGATACGTGAAACGATCGAGCTTTTCAAAAACCCAGCCGGGAATCTATTTCCCGTATAAACGAGTTCCAATCATGCTCGTTCCGCATCTGATCGAGATTCGCCCACAAATCCTTCCTGATAGAGTCCACTCGTTGGGGTGATGGGGAAATTCATCGGAGCTTCTGATAAACTGACACAGAAAACAACTTATGGGGTGCTGTGTTCATGCATGTCTGCTGCTGAGTTGCTGTTTGTGGTCAGAGCGCGGCATCCATGGCAAGTCTCAAAATTGTATGCTTGGTTAATCATGAGGGGCGCAATCACGTAGCTGCTGTTCCAAATGTTTTGCGGGCCTTACAAGGGGTTTTATTTCACATGGCTGTCTCCGAAACTCTTAAATTGTACTCACTTGGGTCAGGAGGCGGAGAAGCTCCCTCTGATCTTCTGTCGTAACAACGTGCGGAAGTTTTTCAGTGAGTTCATAAGTTCTGTCTCTAGCCTCCTCGAATTCTTTCTCGATATCCTCTCGGAGCTGCAGGAATCTCTGTTGCTCTCCCTGGATAAATTCGACATCCTCCCAAGCCTGCTTGACGTAATCGGGCTCGTCCTCGACTGAAGGAATTGAAAATATTTCTCTCTTTCCTTTCGGAACCCTTCGAGGGAAGTTCGATATTCCCGGAGCTCCGATACGAAAGTTACCCACCAGGCTCGCCTCCTTCCTCTGTTTTCAACTTCTCTGTCTCCCATTGATTTATGACAATGCTTAGCTTCTCCAAGTCGGTGCTCAGCGCAAGGAGACAGTTGTCAACTTCCATCATCTTCGATCGCACCATCATCTGCTTGTTGAACGAATCGACGAGTTGCTTGCGTAGTTTATTCATTTCCTGCGTGTTCTTGTGATTCTCTTCCTCTATCCTTTTGTTTGAAGCTGTAAATCGAGGAGCACTTTCAGCCCTAATCACCACTATGCCAATGCCATGCTCATTAGTATAGTTACGAGCACAGTCTCAATGAGTGAGTGATCTCCCGCCAGTCACGAGGAGTTCGATTTCTCCACGAGGATGATGCTCCGATCGCCCTTCGTCAGGGGCATATTGCTGTTGTACTCAGATTGTTGTTAGATTTGATTTCAGTGACTCCGTCGGGCAACTCCGCGGTGTCCGAGTTTGTCTTTCATATGGAGGATCCGCCTCCAGGACGAACAATGTCGTAGCGACGACTCGCCGATGGGCAAGCCATCTTTTTTTGTTCGAAAATCTGGGGCGAGCTCAGCATTCAACGTACTGCTGCCTAGGTGGAGTTTCCGAGTGATCGAAATTCAACTCGGATCCAATCCATCAGGCAATTCTGCGTTTTAGATTTTGGCCCCGTTGAAGAATTAGAAGCGACAAAGACACGAATGACGGCAGGCTCACGCAACTCATGTTTTTCGATGGGCTCTTGCGTTTATGAACGACATGAATCGAGGTCGGATTCCGGCAGGTGGGTTATTGACGATCAACTCCGAAACATCAAAATTCAGACCGTGTTCGTGAGAATAAGAGTCATGGAATGGAAACTCCCCTGGATGTCGTCGATTAAGCTCAACAGTCGAAAACTCTGACGATGCACTGCCTCCGCTGCCGCATCCGGACTCAACCGAATTCTGTCATGAATCGGTTTATGAATGTGTAATACCCGCCGGGAAGATTTACCTCAGCGGGTGCTCTCGTCTGCCTGAGCTCTGAAACGTCGTGGCAGTCTTCTCTTTCACAGATATGAATCGATGATGAATTACTTGTTTGAGCTTGCTGACAGAGAGTCACAGCCCTGTTCCACGCAGTATTCGCCCCATGCATGAGTTATGACGCCCCGCTGGTCTCCCACGAGTGCATTAACACGTCGAGATTAATAGATCCAATCTGAAGGCTTGTTATAGCCCAGTCCATTCACTCACCGTGACCATTCGATACTGGAGCCGGAAGTATCTTGACGTTGTTCGTTTCGTTTTGGTCGATTTTATCTTGTAGTTTTTGAATTTCCGCACGAAGTTCGGTGATAATTCCCTGGTACTGACCGACGTGAGTGTTCACGTCGACAAGGTTTGAGCGTATCTGGAAACAGAATCGCCTAGATGAGTCTCCCTCCGTCACGCCGGGACCCTTGCGGGTCGGAATTTCGCTGCCCGGTGAATTGAGGGCTTCGAAAGGCGCTAGTCTCCGTTAGGTGTTTCAAGGCAACATTCGTGGGCGTCCCCCGGAACGGGAGTCTGCTCACCGCAAGACTTGCCCTACGTACAGCGACGGAAGAAGCTCGATCTCGATTCGGCTCCGCTCCAATTCATTAACCAGAGGTGCCATAAGGAGTCTAACATTTGCTCATTCAGGATTGATGAGAATTCCACTCACAACGATCGGGGCGAAAAAATGCACGACGGAATTCCTACTCACTTTCATGGTGATATTTTTGGCTCTATCGGCGTAAATCAAAGTGTTGCGTGATTCCTCATAGGCCGAAGATATTGGGCTGATGTGGGCAACCATCAGGGTTCGGCAGTTTCCGCCCAGAGCTTCTTTGAGGAGCCGAGTCAACTTAGAATCCCGGAAGTTGACATGTTTCGCGGACTTCATGGCCAATGCGTTGATGACGTTCCCTAGGGCTAGTAGCGACTTGTTTATATGGGCACCCTCTTTGAGGCGTTTCCCGGTGGCCTGTGAAGATACGGGAGAAACGGATGAGATACGAAAGTATATATCGAAGCTCCGGGGCCATCCTTATGCTGATCATCGACAGGATAGGATCGGTAGAATTTCAAGAACAGATGATGAATTTTCTCTGATCTGCCAAAGTAAGGATCATCATCAGTTTCAGAACGGGCTATGCGACTTCTCCCGCTGCTCCTCGCTCAATCACGACCTCCATTGAAGACGGAAAAAGAGCAACCTCTTTACTCGAGCATGCAGATACCTTGGATAATTAGGTAGCTACTACACTTGAATGCTCTGGATCTCGAATCGGAGTGTGGAACTGAAAGAGCTTGATGGGAAGAAGTCAAAATATGATTGCACGGAGTTTGAGGATGAGAGCCGAAGGAAAGTGGGAGTCGCCAATAATCAATGTATAGAATCCTTCCATCGAGCGAAAGTCGTACTTAGGACATGAATACCTAATCGCGGGGGATGTGCGCAGAAAAGGAGTTGAAGCCGCACGTTCTCTGGAGGAAGGAACGTTTGCGCGAATGAAAAGCAGAAAGACGACGACAGAATCGCGAGCCTTCTGTTGCACTCTATGCTGCAAAGGCTCCCCAGGAGCATGTACATACGTATGGATAATTCTGTTTTGCGGCGGTATTTTAATTTGAATTCGGCTGCGAACCTCGTCTTTCCTTACGTGGAACGTTGAAGTGTTCCACACAAAGTGTGTGATTGGGGATTTTGAATTGGGGACACACACTAGGTTGACGGCTCGAAAATCTGTGTATCAGAACGCTACCGTCATCTAACCAGCGATGCGCGCAGCTCTCACAGCTAATGATATCGGGGATATGATTGAGCGAAGCCTGCCTGCACGTCTCGCATTTGCACTGCGTCCGGAGTCGATTGAATCCGAGTTCCGTGCTATGTCCGCTCTCACAGAAGCTCGGAGACCGGTTGCGAGCACTTAGGGATCGCGGGGTTTTCGCGGTGGTTTCGCGCGTGCGTTCTCGGTTCTCCGGGACGTCTAGGCTCGAGAATACGAACGAATCACCTCTCTGTTAGGGTCAGGTCTCCCTTAATCGGAGGTTTCGACCCCAAGAGACGCGAAAGCCCCAGTCTTACGAAATGTCATTCACACCGATGCGCTCTACCGGGCGTTGGTAGGAGCTCGTCATCAGTACCGTCCGATATATTTAGGGATTGACAGAAAGAGGTCAACAGGTTGACCTCGACTTACTGCGCTTATTGGGCGGGCTAAGTTGAAATTATGGGCTCGGAGTTTCGCTCAAGCTCATCGAGACCAACAATGGAGCTTTATCACGGGTCGACGCTGTCGGGCCCGAAATGCTGCCGCATCGGCAAGGGTAGGGCTCATAATACAAATTAGTTCAATTAATACGGACAGTAACTCTTATCAGACTTGTATGAGTACACACATGAACACATGGTTCACTCGAGGCCGCGACAAACTCTGTGTTCGTCGGCTCGTGCGCCGGAGGGTATTGAGAATATTCCTCAACATTCTCTCAGCTCAGATCGATGCACGTATATGGCAAAATATGAACAAGTTTTGATCAGTATCCCAGGTATTTACGGAAGAATATTCTCCCTTCATGATATAATCCTGTCACCTCTCTCGGCAGGGAACCATTTGAGGAATGAAGCTGATCTCCGTGCCGTTTGGGTATCCAGAGATGGCCTATAGTTCGATACGTATGCTCCTCATCGGGTCCAGACCCGTCGATTTTCGATCAACTTCAACGTTCGACGAGCCAAGAATAATTTAAATTCAAGCCGACGGCCCGCGGAAAACGGCTTCAATCCTTGTGAATAATAGAGCGGGACACCGCTGAGTCTCGGAGAAGCGCTCGGATGTGCATCGGTTGCCCCGGAACAAGGTCTTTGCCCGTGAACCCTATGGTCCATCCGGACCCGATCGCGGATCTCCGGATGAGCCTCTTCGATCATCATCATCATCTATGCGGAGTTGTCGTATCCACCCACGGTTTCGCAGACACGGAGTAGGACGGGAACGAGCGGCAGCAGTGCCGACGTGCGTGAATTCTAATACCAAAATACGTCCAGAGCCGGAAGACTGCACCTTCCTGAATAAGTGCTCAAAGCTTTTGGGAATGTTCTAACTACCCTCCGTTGCCGGACTCGGAGTGCAACACTGCCCTCACGTGGTCCGCGCGGTCTCGAGGGACTCTATGACCGCCCGAGGGGAGCTATGTACGAGCCCGCCCGACTGGATGACTGGCTGTGAGTAGCGCAGCTCCGACACATACGAGATTGCTTCGCGAACCGCCCCGACTGAAGGTTTAATAGAAATCACCAACGAGTGACCTCTCCCGCGCATACGTGTCGTCGCTCATCATACTGATCCCATATTTTACGACTCCGTCGCGTGAAAAGAATTGTCGCTAAACGCTCTTGGAATCGGTCGAGTTCCGGATTACCATAAACGAGTCTCATGTCGATGAGCATACCCGGAGTTCATTTCACCGCCGAATCCATAGAATCCGGTAGAACCGACTCCTGGTCAGATGAGGGTACCCCAGCAAGTACCCCCATGACGGCGGATTCCCCCGTGAAACGAGCAAGGATTGAAAATAATTCGCTCCACAGAAGGATACAAAATTGTCCGGTGATATCGCGCTCGACGCCTTGGGAGTGTCCAGGCACGTGCATTCGGAGGGCTAATGAAGCGCTCTGGAATTGAATCGATCGAACTCGCGGCATCGAGAAACTCGATGAGAGTGGCGTCCAAGTATGTTCGAACGACCGACCGCAGCTCACCGATATCAACTCGATATCGGTGACGATTCGAGCACATGCGCTGCCCATTCGTATTGGATGAAATTCCGACGCACACAGCCAAGAGCCGCCCTGAATGTGATTGTTTCAATAGTGCAGTTTCTGTCCACTCAACTACCGATTGAGCGCTCTACGGCTTTCCTGTAGGAAATACGACACTTCCCACCTATCATAAACGGTGGATTGACAGGTTTCCATGCTGCATCGCACCGGATCCGCGTCTGTCCAGGTCTCCGGTGTCATGGGAAACGGCTCCGATGTCAAGAACAAGCCGTCAAATGGATCGTTTTGTGAATTGTTATACGCTGATGATATGTGCGTGTTCGCTCTCATGGCAGCTTTGGAGTCCTTCAACGACGACACCGCCGACTAGGAATATTGCGGGAACGTTCGGTTTAGTGGACTGCTGTGAAAGTGGACGGTAGGCCATCCACTACGGCAAGCACGCGACATTCGAAAGCACTTCGATCGGCTCTAATAAGCCGTCGTCTACGGCAAATAAATCGCTTTGGACCCACAGTGCCCGAGGACTGCGGAGGGATGTGAAACTTCGGGAAATCCAGAGTTTCGGCCACTCTTTTCCCATCTTCGCACAACATTCACATTCTAGCTGATTCGGAGCAGTCTAGCGAGACTCGATTCAAAGACTGGTTATGAGTGATGCGAATACCTCGAAGCACTCCGTAGGTCCTGCCCGGAGCTCTCCGAGCGGCGAACGGGTCGCAGATTCTGTATTCGGAGAAATGTCGCTCTAATGACGCCGGCGGCCGAATGCGGCTACTTCCGGTCAAATTTCGATCAAACCGCCGATCGACAGGAAGGTCGTACCCCCGACCGACAACGCAATGAGTCCTTCGTTCGATACTCTTTGGGAGAATCGCAGGGGGAGAGATGGAGCAGAGACTTCCATTAGGTCCTTTTTTATTGCTGTCGGAGATCCCCGCCGGACAGAGGAGGGGCGTGATTCTGGCCAGAGAATTAGAACTTTCAGAGCATTCTTCGCTTCGACTCACAACAGTGTGAAATTACGAAGCGGTCGTGGCTGACTCACTCAGAACAGTGATCCACACGCGACCGAACGCAATGGCCTTCACCGTACGCGACGCAAAGTATCTCGAACGTTCAACACCCTCCTGGAGCTCGGTCGCTCCAGCGCTATCGATCGAGGAAGCCTTCACGGTGAATATCGAAGCATTCATTACGAGCTCAATCCATCGAATGCTGAATGAGTTCGATGAGGCAAACCCCTCGTCTCAGTACCAAGAGCATGATATGAGGGAGTATTCGTCGTAAGCGAGTCTAGAATCGCTTCATGGTCCGCACGAAGACCATTCGGGGAAATCTCGAAAACTTCCCATCGGTTAACCGTCATCAACCTGCGAGCACGCGCGGAGGCTCTCGAGATGAGTCATTAAATGGCGCCGCACCTGTCTGATTCCACCAGGGACTTGATAAGAGGTCCCCGAAGTATTTGAACGCATCCGATCGACGACCGACTGTCCATTTTTCAGAATCTAACGACAGGTGAATTTAGTATGTGACCGTCACGAGTTCTCGCGTATACCAGTCGCAACTAGAATTCGTTATCATGATAATGATAAGTATTCCGGAATGCGACGGAGAAAGTCAACAAGTGTTCGTCCTGAAATCGATCGCTTCCGTCTCAAAGTTCGTTGTCCAATAATTTGGATCGGATGGTCGCGTATTCCGACGACCAGCCTTCCATTACGACATATAGTTCTAAATTGAGCCCCGTCCCGGAGAGCATCAGATTTCGTAATCTCGATTCTCCGACCGGAAGCTGCTACCCTTGTGGCGTCTGAGGTATCTCTTGAAAATTACGAAAACAGACCAGGAAGCGATTCCGAGACCGACTGGATTTGCGTCTTCGAAGGACGGGCCGGAAATTTCTGCCGCGGCGGCTGCGGCTCTAGTCCGGGGTCAACGGATCGGCTTGAGCAGGGCGTCCGTCCGTGCTCATTGAAAGCCGTGTATGGGACGAGATATTTCCCGAAACGCCGAGTGACTTCGACCAGATTGAGACGCATTGCTGCACCGCCTGATCAGGAATCGTGCCGTCGAATCGACAACTTCACATAACGCTCCTGACTTGAGGACGACCTTGATATACTTCCAAGGACAAGCCCGTAGTCTCACATCGATTTCGCGCCTGATTTGACGTATCTGATCCACTTCAATGACGTCGGTTCGGGTGAATAAATTAGCCCCCCGCGGCTCAGATCGCGACTAGACTGGAGAATTCCGTCTGACGTAACTTACTTTTGTGTTTGACGTCCTTTCTGTTCCCGCCAGATCGACCATGAACATTTTCCCGAATTTATTCGTATTGCCGTTCGTTTGCTTGAGAGCGACCTTCAGGAGAGCGTGGGACCGACTGCTGGTCTCGTTCGCCGCCGTGGCTTCCACAGTTCGGCGCTTGTTGCCGCGTTGGAGGAGTCTCAACACCTGCAATCGCCAGGAGTCCTGAGTGGGTCGATTCCCCAGAGGCGTCAATTACGCCGCCCCCTGCTCCACTCAAGGTCGCTGACCGCTCGATGGAATCAGAGCCTACCTCTTTGGAACTCATGCATTGGACTTCTGTGAGACCTACGGCGTAGTAGCCATCGTTCGGGTCTTCTCGCAACTCCAAACTATCGTTCGAGTTGCTCAGGAGGTCTCGAATATTCTCGTTGTATATCTGAAAGATGACAGGGATCACATGATTACTTTACGCTTCAATCTCATCGGCACCGATCTCCGTAGATTCTCCTCCGAGTCGACATACCTCTAGATACGAGAGGTAGATGCAAGTGTCTTGGCGTTCCTGGTTGCCGAACAGGTCGTCGAACGACCGCACCATTATGCCGGGGTTTCCGTCGTTCCCAACCATGGTGTAGGTCTTCCCGGTTCCCGTGGCTCCGTAAGCGAACACACAGCTATTGTATCCCTCGAGCACGTTCTGGACCAGGGGTTGTACGGCTTTGGAGTAGACCTAGGGAGCAAGATGGGGGGAGGAAAATGAATATTCAGCGTATCGGATTATCGCCTGAAGGATTTCGAGCATAGCCCCCTAGCCTGAAAATCTAGTGATCGACACCACGAAATTAGAGGCGAAAGCCGCAATGACTAGCCATTTATTTGAATGCCCCACTGAATGCATTCTACTCGAACGAATCAGTCTGCTCCAATGATCATCAGGGCCTACTATATTGCAGAAATAATTCACTACCTTCACTAAGGATTGTCACTACGAATCTTCTGCCGATGTTCGAGCTATTGCATAGGATTCGGTTTTTACGCGTCAGAAACGTCACAGGCAGTCCCGGATGACAATGCTGTCGAGAATTCAGAGCTCGTTTCGGCTTGAATGAACGTGCCTGCCGGAACGCGACGCAATCAGCTGCCGGGCACTTGGTGGACGATTCAATTAGACGCTGGTAGTAGGATCAGCCTCATGCCGGAAACCTCGAAACTTATTAGCAAGATCAGCCTATCGGCAGGCGGAGCGCCATCATTCTGATGGGCGAGATCGGTCTCCGTAGCGAAAGCAGTGGAGAGTTTCAAACTTGAGCTGTCAAGCGTCAAACGACCGAATTTCACACCGGAGTCTGATGAATTCAAGCTCAATGAGGCCGACCCTGCCTTGAACGTTGGGCTTGTTGGGCGGCCTCTGTCGATCACTCAGCGCTTCCGAAACTCACGCAAAAAAACCACCGCTTGACCCTCCGTATGTCAAACTGTTTCTAGTTCTCACGCATTCTCGCTCCCAGACAGGTCTCTCTTGCATGGGGGAGTCACGGAATAATCCCAGCGATGAATCGAGTCTTCCGAGTTCGTCAAGCGACTCCAGACCGGACACGACGGTGATTCATTTCATTCTCCTCTCTTATTGGAAATTCATCGCACCCATAAACAAGAGGGAGTATCTATTTTTCGTAAGAGATTCTCTCTTCCAGTTAGCTCATTTACTCACCTCATCCTGGGAACTCCGCTCATCGAAAGCCCAATCGAATGTGTACTTGTGGGTTTGAACCCTCTGTTTGTGGCTTGCCTTCTTGGAAGCTACTGATACGGCGCCATCTCGATTGGTGGGATCCACTAGGAGAACCGCCTGGCAAAAGACAAAAGAAGGTCCGGGCCGTGAAGATTCATCTCAATGCCGATCCAGAAAACGCTCAGCGACTCGGGGGCCCTCTCGGGACCCGGACCCTGTATCGAACCCTAGTGCTGAAGCTGTGGACTAAGTATGTTCCTCCTTCAACTTACGCGATCATCTGTTTTATTCGCAATCACTGTGGCCCCTTTCGCGATTTCCTCGTTGAGTATGGGTCGTATCCGCAATGCAACCTGGAACACCGATAAAAGAGATGTCGGAGAAATTTAATACGGAGATGCTATTCATGAGCTTCCGATATTAGCGATCGATGCATTAGCAATCAATCGCTCGACCGAAGTCTCGAGCAAATGGGTGACTCTGACGAAGTCGTTGAAGCGGTCAACGCGTGCATAATGGCTAACATACGTTGAGTCTCATCGTGGGAGCATCGTCATCCAAAGAAACTGCGATTCGCTCGCGAGCGCGTTTGGCATTCGCTCGGCGCTCAGGCATTGTTTTCCATATTTGAAGCTCGCGGTGCCAAAGAGAACAATGGGTTCTTCACGGAATTGAGGGATAGGGAGACGAGGGAGACGCACACCGCATTCCAAAAACCCACGGTCTTCGATTAGCATACACTGAATATCCTGTCCCGGGTAACGACACGGCAGTTGTCATTCATCGGCGATGCAACTCACGCACCGTTCAAAAACTTTTCACAGAAACTCGGTCGAAACCTAATGGGCTTGCTAGACCCTGACGCAGGAGCTCCATCAGGTCGCTCAGAGTGGACTTTTCTGAGGGAGCCTTGAGCCAAGACACGGCTCGTGTCACCGAGGGTCTGTGCTCGATTGTGTTCGTAGAATAAGGAATCACCCGAGCATTCCGCGACCCCTGGAGAAATGGCGAGCTCCGCGGAATTGCAATCCCATCCCACTACAAATTGATAGTCGAATGGCGTGCGGACGATTCCGAAGAATTCATCCTTGAGGAACAGACAAGACAAGGTGCAATCATGCGAATATCACGAGATCACTTCGATTTGTTGTCGAATGTATCTCCTGCGAGCTCTGCGGTGCCCATAGTGTGCTCTTCCTCAGTGCCCGTCGCCAGGACTCGAACGAAGACGCCGAGAGCTCGGATCAAAATCGAACACAGCAACAACATCGTTAGAGATCGCTGTCGTCATTCCATTACCGCGATTCGTAGTTCGCGATCGTCACTCCACCTCGTTTCCAACTGGGAGGTTCCGCCGGTTCGAATCCTGAGCTAGTCCAGAACTCCGCAGAAAGATCCTGAACTACTTATTTCATGCGCTTTTGAATCCTCGATTTGTTTCCTGGGTGTATCTTTCTCACTCGCGCTTGGGAATAACATGGATAGGGATGAATTCCTTCTTCTCTGATCTCCTCCCTTGCAGGGCTCAGACCCGAGGCGGAACTCCATGATTCAGAATCCCTACCCTCTATTCCCCGATTAGGTGCGTCTCCCAAGAGGAGGGTCAGTTCGAAGGGTCCATCCACCGAGGTCGCAGTGCAAGATTCCCGTTCGAATGAGCATACCTTCATTCGGATATAAACCAATCCTCCGCTCGTTTGCCCGCCAGGGATTTCCGATTTTCCGTCCGCAGCAACTGCATCCGGCATCGAGTCGGGGTGCGGGGTCATACCACGACCAGAGAGGTATCCTGGCCCCCCAGAGTCTTCATTCGGAAATAAGAAGTCGTCCTCAGTCGCTGGAGTTTTTTGCAGTTTCCTGCTCCCTGACGACAAACGCACATTCGAAGCAAGCTCATAGCTGCGCCTCCTTCGACGGACCTCATCGAGCGCTTGTTGTTGAGACTCCGTGTTGAGTGACGGGAGGCACGATTCCTCCGGATATCCTTCCAACACTTTTGAAGAATCCTTGAGAGGGGTTCTGGCTGCCACTGAACGGCTGTTCGTGCGCACCGACTTTCCGATAGCCTTTTCGCCAAATGGAACTGCTTTCTCCAGCATTGCTCGCTCAATGCGTTCGATGAGCTTCTCGTCATCGTCGACCTTCCTGTTCCTGGGATTCCCCACAAGTGAATCTAACGTCTCTCGTTTGTTCGATTTCTTCATCGTGGACACGAACATCCTGGGAATTCCATTCCAGGGCCGATGAATCCAGACAGGGCTCGAGTCACCCCAAGAACAACAGCGTCCCGCTTTTGCGGGAAACTTCACTCGCACCGAATTCCGCTTAGTCACTGAGTTTCGGAAGGTTCAAGTTCAGACGGTCTCGACTCCTGCGATGAGCCTTTCGCCGGAGTTGCCCAGCGTTGGTAGTCGGTTGTTGTCAAGTTTGCGTGGACTCGTGTATTGGCCTCTGCCTTCGACATAATGGCGATGCGCACGTTTAATCTCCAAAGTGAGTTCGATTCCGTCGGCACACAAACTGTTTATTCAGAACCCGTGCTTCCGTTGATACGTATAAAAGGAGGAAATGAATCAACGAGAACCGACTGCTCACGAGGAGTCCGGCCCTGCGCTGACGACGTCGGCGGGAGCCTTCTCGGAAAGGACCCGTGCTAGCTGCTAGCCAAACGAGCCGCCGAGACCGTGTCTCCGTCGGAGGCAACAGCGTAGATCCGCCTCGGACCTCAACCGCGTGTTGTCGTGAGTGACAAAGAGCTATCGACCCTCAACACCCACTGAACGTGAAACTCACCATTAGACGGGTCGGTTTGCCGGTGTCTTCTTTTTCGCCCGACGCCTTTTTCGAGCCATTCATCTTCATCGCGACCGTCACTCAAGTTTCGGTGATCCGAGCGATTCTGAACTTCCACAGAGCTTTTAGGCGAGAACTTTGGATTCGTGCATTTGGGCTCGTGCTCAAAATGCGACTGATCTCGTCGAACTCTACGACTGTTCACCCACGGCAGCAATGAACGACCGCTGCGTCTCCAAACCCGGAACTAAACCCCGGCCTGGCACGGCGCAGAGCGTGACCGGAGTGAGAGACCACGTCTGACAAGCATGCCAGTCCGAGTCCGTATGAGAGAGAGACCTTCCACCGCCTCAACCAACCTCAACCTCAATTCCGCTGTCGAGGGTGAGAGGAACGCAGAGGCAAACACTTGTTGGTTAAGCTGGATACAAAGGCCCCAGGCTCGTCGGCTGAAGTATCGAAAACACATATATGTATTAGAACGGCATCCAGGAATCATCAAGATTGACGAAGCTCTCTAGTTCCGCAAGATCATTGGGTCGCCCTGGATCTTGTCCAATACCGGAGGGAATTGAAGGGATTGAGGCCCTGGAAAGGCGGCGGTCTTGACCGGGAGAGAGCGGATTTGATTTCCGCTATATAAAATCCGATACATACGAAGATTTTCCGTCGAGCGAGCGTAGCTGGGGCCTTCGACTCGACTGATTCCATGAGTGCAAATCGGACATGGAGCAGGTCGACGCAAAAAATAATTTATTCCTTCCTCTGACAAAGGTGAGTTTTCTCCAGCGGGAGATATATTTTCAAATTCCGCTCCTCTATTCCCGTTCTCAGATGATCATTTCCGAGGATATATTCTGTCGCAACTTCGAGAGCAGCCGTTGTACCGCAGTGGTCCCAGCGGCGTTCCCGACGACGGCCGAAGAGTCGTCCATATCGAGACTGCGGGAAGTTCAGCTGCAAAAAAGCGCAAAGGGGTCCCGACGACTGACTCCCATGACTACGCAATCACACGAGATATCTCCACGTTTCATTCACTGTGGATCTTCCGGAACACGTCTTCCCGAAACCTCCGCGATTTGACGGCACCTGACTTGCGCACTTGTCCGACGCCGTCGGCAGGATTACCGGATTCCGGAAGACCCGTGAAACCCATATCATCATTCCTATTATAAAGCGCGACATGGGGGGACAAAAATGTTTCCCGATACCGGACATAACTTCCCAACTGGATATTTACCCTGCCCTCACTCGTGAAAGGCCGTCGTCTTTCACGGTTTCACTCGAAAAAGGACGATAAAAGCTTTCCGATCATGCTCTACTTGGCCTCGACTCAAGCTGTGAAGCGTCCGTCCCGCTAGAGAGCGTCGATTGCGCATTGGCTCATTGACTGCCTCCCGTCAATCAATCGATTCTCATTCTCACTGCCTTGACTGTCACGTGCGAGGCGCTCTGTTTCGAGTTTTGCTCAAGAAATCAATCAATTCATTAATCATTGAGCAATCAATAAAATCAAGCATCAGATCTGAGCGCTTATGAGACATCAATCAATGAATCTTGATTCCTACTATCAATTCTCTCGGACCTTCCCGGGCTTAGGGACCAGCCTCTCTCTTCTCAGGCTTTATAGCGACAGTTTCACTCATGAGCCTGCAACGGCTTTCAGCTTGAAACCTAAATTCAATCCCACTTCCACTCATAGGGCTGCAACGAAGTTCTTCATCGCGCAGGTGGAGTGTGTTTCATTATTCTTCTGTTCTTCATTCTCAATATTCCGCAGTTAGATCTCTACATAATCGGAGAGGAGCAGAGAACTCGAAGACTTCCTCAAAGCTTATAGCCGACTTTCTGTTGTTGTCACACGCGGTCAGACGCAATTTGAATTTTCAAAATTGTATGAAATGCCGACATTCTTAGTTTCGCCCACACATCGAACGGTTCTCCTGAGACGCCCCGTAGAGGCCAAATCACGGAACATCGTTCCGAAATGAGAAAGCTGCATTCAGTTTCGTGGAAGCGAGACCTTCGACACGGGATCTCATGGAGACGGGATCCGCGATGAGTCTCTTATACGCCGACATCTCACATATGGAGTCTCTAATGACTCAGGAGTGCGTGCGGACCCGGGGGGCTGCGATGGGAATCAGTATCTTACTCGCGTATTCTCTCATCGGAGGGCTCGACTATCTTCGGCTTTGCGTCTCTGCTTTTGCATTCCTCGATTCTTTGATTGACACGCGGTCTCGACGCCTCATTATTCGGGAGTCATGCGATAGGAGGCATTGCGGCCGGCACCCGGGCGTGAGCAGCCGTAAGGGCGCGAAGCGCCCGCACGGCTGGTCTAGGAGAATAGGGAACAACAACACATTCAGCATCCATGAATACGCAGCATCGTTTATTGTGTTTTGTGGATCCGACCTTGAGAGGCGCCCGTCACGAGGCGAACAAAATCGAAGCGGAATATTCGAGTTTCCGGTTTGCCGAATGCGGCGATATCGACCCGACGCTCGCTCACGAGCCCGTTTACAGGCCGTTCGACCAACAGGCCTCCTTCTTGAGTTTGCTCAGTGGATATGTAGCGCGTCGTTCGTTGATCAGTCTGTAGTACGGTTTCATTCATTCCCTGGGAATCGCGAGGGAATCGACTCCGGGCGCGCTCTTCTTGAGATCTGTCTTCAGAACGGACTGTGTAGTATTTGCAGAGAAAGGGGGTCGATTACGCTCCAGGAATCCCTTCCCCGCATCTTTGGTCCCGTGAGAGGTCGCGAAACGCCAGAAAGCACTGAACAAAAAACTCAGATATCTCCGAGTACGTACTTTTTAGAGGGAGCACTTGGCGAGCGCGGGGAAGGTGCACGAAGACGTCGCAACGTTGAAATGCATCCCTGGCGCACATTCCAGCTTCAGTCCGAAGCCTCCCGAGCACACAGTATACTTCGAGCAACTCTCGGGATCGGGGATGTAGAGAGGAATAGTGCCGTCGGTAGGTGGGCAATCCGGATCGGACGGAGTGTCGGACGAATGATCTGAGGGCGCCGGCGGGTTGAATCCGCTGAACATAGGAGGTACCTGAGGGAGCATCAGCCCAAAATGGATCACGATGAGCTTGCGATAGACTCCTTTAGTGACTCGAATTAGAGTTTGGGGATTTCATCGAGGTCGGCGTGCAATTCTAAGATAATGAAATGAACTCACGACCGGCATCGACAGGCCCCCCGCGAAGGCGGGCGCGCCGTTGGCGTGAGCCAGGACACAACAACTAAGCACGAACACGGCAAACATGATTATGGCGGAATCGATTGCGAGTGTTTGTGTCTTAAGGAGTGATGAATTGCAGGATACTGGCCTCTCCCCACAGATAGCGGTAGTCCAAAGAGCGACACATCTCCTTCAATTATACACACATCCGTCCAGAGGTCCTATGCGTTCGTTGCGTCGACGCTTTTACGGCATCGAGTCAGCATCAATAGAATTTTACGGCGGTGAAAATGCTCGGCGTTGCGTCATCTGAGATTACCGTTGCGTTACTCCTAGAAGCTCACGGGCGTCATCCCGCCGAAACTGTCTCCGCATATAGAGCAAGAAAAATACTGTAACGGGAGCAAAACGACGATTCTATCTATCGTAATGAGGATGTTTTCGAGAAATACGGGGCTGGCGTGATTTGACCTATGACGGAGCTCGAGGAGCTAGACAACCTCATGTCCAAAGGTCGAGAAGATTTCACGGTCATCTCTTCAGTACCAAGGAGAGGTAAACGCGCTCACTGATGATCCGAGATTCCTCCCCGAGCTAAGGAGGTCGCGGCGGAATACCCCGACATCGGGAAATCGTTTCGGAGGGACTGCCCTGAGGGTTCATAGGGATCCCATGGGATCGACGCACGGCTCGGTATCCAAGGTGAGCTCATCCATCGCCGCCGCGTTCGACAAATCGCTTCTTTTGCCGTGACTGTTCGGGTCTACGCACCGCGGAACTCGGCAGCTCGATCATCGCTCCCTGCTTGTCGCTCCAAGCGCCTCCCATCGATCGTGAGTCTCTTGAATGTGATCGACGATCGGTTGGTCGATCGAGCCAGCTCAAAAACTCAGGACAAGCTGAGTACAGGATATCTCTTTGAGAGGCTGCTCTCCCTCTGCGATACCACTTGGAGCCGTTGTTCGAGCTCGAACGCCGCATGCATCGCCGTCTTGATGTCGCGGAAATCATCCACCATGTGCAGAGGCCTGTCGAGGTTTACGGGTCGAGCTTTCCAAACGACTCCTTCGATTGAACTGTGGTGTCTTCCGAATTAGGGAGTCGACGGAGCCTGGAGTTCGCCGCCTGATGGCGAGGAGAGACGTGGAAATCGGAATCACTCAAAAATCCCGACCATAAGGAACGTTTCGCATAGAGAGCTTCCCGTATAAGGAACCCCAC